TAATAAAAGTTATCAATTACTGTCAGACATGCTGCTGGATATGAAGTCTGAGCGCACAGAGATAGAATAAAATAGAATACAGCAACAAAAAGATTATAGAACCTTAGAAAAATGTATAATGTATAATATAATAGTGAAGAGTTAAAAGATAAATAATAAAATACTGATCTGTAAAGTGTTATAATTATATAAACCGTGCACCTGGAGAACAAATATACAGCTATGGACATTTTTATAATAGTTGATATCTGAAAAAGCAGCAACATCAGAGATGTGAAAAATGACAGTGTTAGGAATCCAGTCTGTGTGGGTTGTGTTTTTGTGTTTTCTCCCTCCACCAGCAGGTGGTGCCTTGTTCTCATTGGTCCTCCCACACACCTGCGGCTCATTACTGAGGATGGTGGACTGTCACTACCTTGACGCCAGAGTGTTTGCCAGTTTTGGGTACTCTAGCCAAGCTGAGTTTAGCTGAGCCTAAATGAGTCTTTTGTTTCTCTAAATCTAACGTTGTTTTTGTCTTTTGCCTTTTGGCAGGAAGTCATCCTGCATATTCGGATGTTTGGCCTTCTCCCCCTGGAAGGATTGTTTAAATTTCACACTGAGCAGGACATTAATCATCCCGCTCACTGAGTTCCCCTGAATCCAACCCAACTGTACTCCTCAATAAACCTGTTAAACTTTTATTCTGGTTTCTCTGAGTGGTTTTCTGTATGTGGGTCAGATCTCTTAAAAACATTGTGACAGACAGCAGTATGTTATTTAACTGACTAAGATAGAAACTGTGCAAAATCAACATGAATGTAACAACTTATTGAGGTTGTTAGGAAGGAACAGTGGTGGTTATAGAGTCTTACAGATGTTGGGAGGAAGAATCTGTCATAGCGCACCCTGGTGCATATATGGTACAGCAATCTGTCACTGACGGAGCAGGCACTTATGTGTATGACATGATGGGTCTCGTGGTAGGAAATCTGCGTGTGTAAAATGTTTAAAATGTATGTGGAGAGCAGTTTAGGTGAATTCTGACCCCATTTAAATCTACTAACATCAGATGTGTTATTTTAGAATTACAACTAAACTGATCTAGATTTTGGGAAATATTGACAAGCGATGCTGTAAAGGAACGGCTTTTTGCTACAAATCACCATGACGTTTCATCTGTAGTAAACATAATGATATGGAAGCTGATTGCTGCCACTTAAATAAAATAATGGCCCATTCATGTCATAATTTGACTTCAAAATCATTACAAGACATAGTCAGGATTTCGAACATGGCAGAAATGTGATGCCCTACAAAAAGGATTTTTTTTATATTCTTGTGTATTCTATAACTATTACATAATATCTTGGAATTATGAACACCTACTGGCCTGTTCCATTTCTTTCAGTAAACAGAAAAACACATCAACTGAAAGTAGAATTTCCTGCCTCCTCAATAAATGTTGGATGTTTTTGATTTCCAATAAATAAATAGAAAACAGAGGAAATAACAAAAAGAAAAGATATAAACAACAAAATGCAGATTTAACTGAGCACTGAGTGGATATTCTTATAAATGATATATCTTTTTATATTAATCCATCTATGAAAAAGGAAGTTTTTTTTTTTTTTTCAAGTGTTGAAATTATAATATTAATATAAATGTTTTTGCTTCTTTTGAAATTAGTATCTATTTTGTAATGTCTGATTTGGGCCAAAACCCAGACAGGAGTGTTGAAAGAAAGATGGTGAATTTTGATAAAAACCAAGAACAAAAAAAAACTTGTAGTGAGGCATGAAGAAAGCAGGACAAAAACAGGGCAAGATGTTATGTTAAAAACCAGCAGTGAACTATGGAGGACTATGGAGTCTGAATCAACTAAAGTAAAATGACCCAAACTGACCTCACCAGAAACTAACAACCCAGATAGAATCAGAAACCCCCCCCAAAAAGAAACCCAAACTGACCTCACCAGAAACTAACAACCCAGATAGAATCAGAAACCCCCCCCAAAAAGAAACCAGAAGAGATCCTTTAAAGCTACTGAAGATCCACAGCTGGGATAGGAGAGCTCATAGACAAAACCACTATAAACAGTGAAATTTACAGATCAGCCTTTTTTTCCTTGAAGATTGAAAAACAAAAACATCACATTGTTGAGAAAAATGAAAACATACAGCATGTTCTCACATACAATTTAAATATAAGATATCATACATAGCATTAACAAACTTTCCACATGGCAGACCAATTTGTCCTTCCATTCCCAAATTCATGTTCATACATATATATAT